CCCACATGGTGACCCAGAAGTCTCCAACCCTTCCCTCACCTTGCCCACCCTCACCTCCGAATTTAGCTGCTGTTGATTTGCAGCATGAACAGTGCTTACACCTCCTTATCCCTAAAGACCAATATTGGGATGCTTCCAATTGAGCTAAGCTCTCACAAGCCTCAAATGAACGTAGCAATCTATTATTAAAGCTAAATACCTTTTATTAGAGTGCCAACCATACCTACAATGCTAGGGATCTCACAGCTGCCATCAAATGTTTCCACATGCTGTATTTAATAAAACTGGTAAAGGTTTTGGAAAGAAGGATTCTCATTAAAATCTTACTACTTCCCACAAGTAAATGTACTTTTTGTAGAAATTGTTATTTTCTGACCATGCTAATCCAAAGAATGCTTCACTCTATCTCTTCTTTCTGAAATACGAAGAAAACCCAACTCACTGATTTGCCTGCAAACCAGCTTGTTGATTAATGTTAGTTGCACATGTTGAAGACTTCCTTTTTGATATAGTATGAAACACTATCAAATTTTTCTGGTTTATTTTTATCACATTTTCTTTCTGTTCTATCCAGAAGAGAACACTTAAGACATAAGAAAACTCTGTCCTCCCATCTTTAGCAGAAACAGAATTTCAACACAATACAGGCTCAAACTTTAGTTCCTCTGCAAAAGTTATCACCATTTTAGCTACCAGAGACCTGTGAAATTGTTTAAAATATCCATCAGAATTTCGGTAGATGCCTATTCTCTACACTTCTAAAGCCATCTGACTTCCCTAGCTAACAAGCTTACTTTTATACCCTTTTATACCCTGAATACTTGGCCTTAACACTGAAGATCTGCCATACTACTATGCCTCCACGTAACAGTATGTTTACACTCAGTTTAGAGTTGCTCAGTCATTGTGAAAATATACAGTAAATTACCTTTTCTGCCTGTAATCCGTAGTTAACCCTTGCCAAAGCTAGCCACCATCACATTATCTATTAAAATGTTATCACAATTCGGATTGCATGAGGTGACAACAGACAAAAAGATAGTAACAACTCAAATAAAAAAAGTATAATTGAAACATATATATATAATGCCATATATGCTTCCAGATGATGCACAAAACAAGCTGAAATGATGTGCTATGACATGGATGCTGAGGCTGCAGAATCATTGGACAAATTAGTTTTTATATAAGTTCATGTTATTACCCCACTGGTAGCTGACCACTTCCATGAGGGACTAATTTTGAAACAAATTAAAGCAATTTTTAATCTGAGACATTGCAATCCTTAGTGAGTACCGGACAGGTCTACTAGTCTGCTCACTACTTGAAGTAGTGCATATGTTCATTGATATTGTGACTTGCAGCTGAAGGTGACAGGCATCTTAGTCTGATTTTCTGTCAAATATTGTGCCTTCAGGAGTATGGCAGCAACAATATTCTCCAACACACTAGCATATCTTTTACGTGGAAATCCTAATATATTGAATCAGTAAACATTCATGTTTGAGTCTCTTCCATGACTCAAACATATCAAACAAAACCCCATCATCTTTAGCATACACAGCAGTAGATTAGGCTGATGAATTGTGAAAATTGTAAGATCAAGAAAAACAATGCCAACATGGTGAAATTGATCTAAAAAATCCTCAGAAAATGAACAAAACGTTTTCTTTTTCTACTCTTACAGGATAAATGTACAATAACAATGGAAAAGAACTGCCATTGTTATGTGTAAGCTACAACAAAATGCTGTTCTGAGCAAGTTTGCTTCTGATGCCCCAGAGATCTATTTCTTTTACTAAAAGTTTCATACAGTTTGGGCAGTGGGCATGTATGGCATTCAACATCAGATGGATGACATTCATTCTAACAAAATTTACCTAGTAACTAAAGTAATGTAATCAGCTGACAATATTTGCCGACAGGACATTTTTGAGATTAGGATCTTAGGGACCACGTTTAAGCCTGAAAAAAGGAGATGGCAGCAAAGTCAGTTCATATTCCATACAAGTCTTCTGTGAGTTGCCCTCATTCAAATATATGGGATTGCTTCTGTGTAGAATTCTACCTTTATAGTTTTATTCCCATAGAGCAATTAAAATTGCTTTTGTTTTGATAAAAATTTGTCAATAAAATTAGATGGCCAAAAGAAGACAGTAACAATTTGAGAATAAGCATTTTATAGCAAATTGAAAGTAAATTAACACAGAAGTTCTTTTTTACCTGTACAGCCTTTAGGTACGATGCTAATTTAAACCTGTGTTAACCATTGTTTGGAATCTGCTTGGTCATGAAATCCATTAACCTAGTTCCCATTACTTCTTTTTCAATGGCAGTATTCTTTCTAAAGAAAGTTTTCATTGTTAAAGCAGAAACCAATTTTTATTCAGTTTTGCTAGAGTGAAATAAAATTCTCCTAGAGTGAAATATAAAAATGTCATTTACAAATCATATTTTGAATAGGTAACTCAAATAATCCAAGGACAATTTTCTTTTGATCACAGTTACAGTATTTAATGACAAAATCAGGGCTTCCAGTAATGACTCAAGAGAGCAGGTCCCATTTTTTTTCCCCAGAATGGCACAAAATAATTTCTACATCTTTGAGAACTTTCAAGGAATTGGTTACAATAGACACCAGCAAGTATTACAATTCTGGCATATCATAGCAAAACCTACCTACCTTTAAGATCACTTTTTAGAGAGCACATTTTTGTTAATATTTCACATAATGCACAACTTTTGCTAGACACAAAAGTAGCCTTTTAAGACAGAGTTTGCAGTACAGCACTCAAGTCTAACAATACATTATTTTCATTCTTTGCAGAACTTTAAAAAGATAAAGAAACTACTGATATTGTTACAATTTACAAATACATTCTTTCATATGAAACACTAACCTGCATTATAGTATATGTTATGTACATGACTATCTAATAATACTAGGTTGTATACACTACAAGCTAAGTTCCAGAAGGAAATTGCAATGCTGTAAGATTTACCTTTGGATAGACATTTATACACCTCTGATATTTTTTTCCCTAAAAACTACCAAATCTTGTAGTTAATGAACAAGAAGAACAAAGTAAACACACAGACAAACCGCTTTTCCTTCATTCAATAACACTAGGTTACTCAGAATTCCCATAGTAAATGGCTTTTGATGGTTGGATAGAAGTCCTGAGTTATGATACATAACACAATACACTTAACTGGAGAATATTAAAAAAAATATGCTGAAAAACTGTTTGTGGGACTAAAGTAATGTTTTAGAACAGTTCAACTCACAAAATGTCTGGAACTTAGCAGTGCAACTGTGACCTTGTCCTGTCCAGCCAATATTCATGTAAACACCTGAAAACCATGTCTTGTTATGTGAATTTAAACAACTATTTCTTTTCAGGTTTATCTCCTCTGGGGTTTAGACATTTCTTCTAAATTATTGACAAGCTTAGAAGCCCAGCTAGATGGCAGCAGTTCAAAACCTATTCCTTCTTTCTCTCAAGAGAAAGACTTGTGAGGTTAGCAGCAGAATATAGTTAAAAAAGTAAGAGTGGAAAAGATGACAACAGAAGATAGCTATGTGGTCAAAAATGTACTCCCTGACTAATTTCTAATGCAGCTATTTTTAAAAAACAGCCTAACATTTGGTCTCTAGCAGGAGTTTAATTTCTAATGAGAGACCGTTTTCCTGGTTAATTTGCAGAAAATACCCATAGTCATTACAGCAGTGCTCAGAAAGCTACTGGCATTTCCGGGGCAAGCATTAATTGTACGTAGCTCAATGGAGTGTTCAGAACTCATGTTGTTAATGAGCCTGTTCTGACTTATAACAGATGTGGCCAAATTCCTTTTCAGTTGATGGTGTTGGATGTAGTAACTGTTAGAGCTGACGCTAAATAGATCTAACTGATCGTATGGTACTACACAGATGACAAATTTACCCCTTCTCTCAATTCCCAGTGTGAAAATAAATAAAAAGCTTCATATAAACCAGTTTAAATTACAGTAAAAAAAAACCAAAACCAAACAGATGTAAAGTTTGAATGCAATCAGTTAACTAGACAGTGTCCTTAGTTCAAATGAGCATGTCTTCCTGAAACCAAGCATCTTTTTACAAAATGGGTATTTCCAAGAGATTTTCAGTTACTTCAGCTTGCAGTAACTAAAATATTCTCAATTACTACAGAAGCTTTTATCTCTCTTACAAGCACTGCTCTGAGGATTTTAGACTGTTTAAAGTGTCATCAATAATGCAAAAATCTTATTCTACATTGAAAATGAAAACTACAGTACATTCATATAATGCCAGCTTTCTGTCTCTCCAGTAAGATGAGGACAGAAATGAAGAGCAGGCATCTTCAGAAGATGAAGGCTGAAACTTCCGCTAGGATTTCTGTTTCTAGATTACCGTTTTTTTTGTTTGTTTTTTTTGTTGTTCTTTTGTTTAAAAAGCAGCATCTTTTTTTTTCTTTTTTTCTTCATTCTAGAAGCATATTAGAACATCTTAAAAATGTTAAGAAAACAGCTGTGAAGGAAAAGAGTAACCTACTTATTTTTGTAAGAGAATACAGTGCATATATTGCATATAGTGAATACAGAGTGAAGTAGGGAGCCACCCTTGCAGTGATAATATATACTGAAAACTGAGACCCAAACTAGGAGTTAGGATTCTATGTACCAAGACATGCTTTTTGAAAGCCTCTATTTTAAAAATCAGACGACTAGCTAACACAAAAGTCATTCTAATCAGACAAATTTCTGAAGTGTTCCAAAAATTCTTACTATAGAATTTATGAAAAAGAGGTGACTTGGAAAATGATGCATTCTCATTTTCCCAGGCCTTTGCATTGTCATTTACACAGACCTTTAGCCACAGAATCACAGGTTAAAAGAAAATGAAATGTTATTTTATACCAGATTGCTAAATTCTAGACTATGTTTGAGGCACAGCTATGTGTGTATAGACGTAAAAATTACTTTTTTCCCCCCTCTATTTTGAAACTTCAAGCATACATTCTGTAGGTTTCATTATACTATTCAAATAATCAATCCTGAAGGGAAAACAGAAATACTCAAAATGCAGCACTGGTAACAGATTCCCCTATGAAATTCAGATATGCACTTCTGAATGCTGGTGATGGCACATGCAAAACTTCCTGCACTGGGTAGAAGAAACACGTTTTTCTGTTTCCCAGGACAAAGCAGCCTATTCTCCACAATAGTTACAACCCCAGGTGTTTAATTCCAACATTCACATCCTGCTGATGCTACATAAAATGAAGAAAAGTATACCCCTTCTTTGGATTTTACTTCCACACATACGTCCATAACCAGTTAAATAACTTTCTGTACAAATGGGAAAGAGTATTACTATTTTAATCCCGATCAACTTGTCATTTGGTCCAGTTCCCCTGTTTGCTTTCACTCCTGTAACAACTGAAATACAGGTAGAAAGTACTGCAGGACTGTGTAGCAATATTACAAAAGAGGAACAAAAGTCAAAAAAGGTAGAAATGCAACACTTTTTCCTGCACAGAAACTGAAAGAATGCATCTCCACTGAACTGGAAGAAAAAAGCACACAGAAGTCTGGATCTCCTGTAAGAACTGCTGAACGTAGCCTTTCCAGTTTCTCAGGAAGGTTTCAACTTTGGGCAGTATCTCAGCATTTGTGCTTCATGGCAAGCTGAAAAATAAAGAAAAAAATGAATTAAAGAGAGATCACATGTAACCATAGCTATATCAAGCTAATGTGGCTAGTCTGGATGAGAAAAGCTTGCAAAACAAATTCTCCACAAGATGCCTGAAATTCATAACTTCTTTGCACACAGATATGCAGAGTTGTTCCCTTTGCTGTGACTATAAAGCCACCAAAATGGGAACTCTGCTTTGCTGCACAAAGTGTTCACAAACACTAGTAAGTTGAAATTGGTGCCTTTCTCTTCACTGTCACTGTTTTGCCAGAAAGTTAGTTTTGCCATTTGAGCAACACTCAGCTGGACCTTGCTTTTCGGGTTTCACTGGAGTAGTATGTTTTCTTTTCTGTACAAAGAACATCTAAGGTCCAAGTAGCAGCTGCCCCTCAAAGACTTAATCAGAGGAATATTAACAATAAGCAACACTGTACTTATTCCTAAATGCTCCACCAAAACCCCAACAAAACTCTCTTGCAAACTAAAGCACACCACCATAAAAAAGCGTGTCTCTAACCTAATACATTCTTGGGTGGCTGCCCGCTGCATTTGTGTGAGATAAGAGTAAAGGAATTGCAGGACTACAGCACCTCTAAGATACAATTCAAGACCTGGGGCACCAGTACAGAAAAAATTGCAAGAAAAAAGCGTTGTAAACCCCATTTTACTAAGTTATCCTTATGATCATTGAGATCATAAGCATTTATGGTCCTCTAAGAACTAAACTATGTTTTGTTTTCTTCTAACACAAAGATGCTATTTTCTTGTTAAAAAGACAAAACCCAAGCATTTACTACAAATCCTTAACTATCATCCACTGAAAGACTGTCACACTCCTGTTTCAGGCAGCTGGTAATTGGGATAGCTTCAACAGCACACAGCCCTTCACACTCACATAAGGAAGACTGGTAATCTGTAGAACTGGACTGGCAGAAAGGTTTCATAAATCTCAGTCCAGCACACAGTCTGAATTGGAGATTACCCTTTTCTATTCTGCATCACTTAGGCATTTCCTGCAGAAACTGTTCTGGCTTTCTGCCATAGAGACATGTAAACTCAAACGACTATGTACAAAATTCTGATTGAGAATTTCCCTGTATTTTTTATTTAATAATAAAAAAAATTGTATTGTGGATGTTTTTAGCTTCTCCACTGTTCCTGCTGCTTCCCCCCCCAATTTTTGTTTTGAATTATTATTTTGTAAACGTTTATTTCTAAATATGGTACAGCATAGGCTATCAAGGATGGTATTTTTATTACAATACCGCATACTTTAATCTGGAGAGTTTCTTAAAATAAGATTTTCCTAACACAACCTGTTTGAAAGGATTTGTTTCTGTTCACAGCATGGCTTCATCTGTGGAACTGCTGTTCTGCACATGTGGAAGATGAAAGGGCAACACACACTAATGAAACCTATTCAAATCTTAATCAAGATTCATAGCGGCCCAACTATCAGAGGCATTTTTCATTTCTGAACTCCCTACCAAGCAGCACTCTACGCTTTACTCTAAAGCGCCAAACCTGTTGCCCCCTACCCTAGAAGGGGTGGTAGCTGCTGTATAAGGTTGGTTTTCTGAGTTGGCGTAGTTATCATCACTGGGGGAGGGAGGAAGAAGGTGGCCTTAGATGAAGAGTCCAAGAGCAGACTCGTACCATACTCACGCCACTAAGCTGAACCATGCTAATCCAAATGGACCACAAAGTAGAGGATTGTCCCGTTAAAAATTAAAATAAGTTGGTTTGTGAATTTTAAAGACTATATAAGACAGAGGCTTGTATAGAACTGCAAGATAACAACCCAGGATTTCTAGTGCTAATGCAGTAGCCAGGCACTGTTTGGCATAAGCGTGACAAAGCCTAATGCATGTCCTAAGCAGCAAATCTATCACACTTACATGCTAAAATGGTTGCTCATGTGCAGAAAACTTTCTACCACCAAACTGAATGCTGTCGATGCCTAGAATTTCTGTCACAGAGATGGAAGCTCAGCACCATTACGCACATGCAGAAGCAACAGGCATAGTACTATCAATACCTTCCACCAAGAATAGAGAATGTCCATACATTCCTGAGACTGAACAATTCCTCAAAATCCTCATAACTAACATTTCCAGACATAAAAAGATACCTCTTCAGAAACAGACAGTCACAGACCTATGACTGCTTATCAGAGGAGATTAACAACAATTTCACTATACTGCTGCACAAAGTATGGGGAATAGTTCCAAGCAATAGTGGGAAGACGGATTTGAAATATGCTTCAGGAAGGTGAAGACAGGTAGTTTCAATTCAAGTGGCAATGCAGCAAACCTATGGACTGAAGTTATAAACCAGAAAACTGCCAAGTGAGGAAGAGCATCAAGGAAAACAGCAAGCTGTTTGTAAACAGTGACCAACTACGATTCTTTCTAGGGCTTCCTCCCCTCACAATAAAGGAACGTGTGACTGACCTACTCAGAGCCTTGTACCACCAAAATCTTACCTTGTGTGCAGTTTCTGCAAACTGCTGAGCACTGTTTTTCAGCTCCTCTGTCTTCTCTTCTGCTCGACCTAGCCTTTCACCACGCTCATTCAAAGCCTGACTTGCCTTCTGTACTGCACTTGTCACACTGTCTGCTGCTGAATGGAGTATGCTGTTTCCTGCAATAGCAAAAGAAACTATTAGAACACCCAAATATATATATGCTTTGTATTAAATACAATTATTTTGATTTATAATGTTCTAGAGCTGATGTGTTACCTGCTAGTTTATCATCTAGTTGCATTTTGGATAATGGGGTAAGTTACTGTTTTCTCACACAAATCATATTATTAGCAATCTATAAACAAGTACTGTGTTGCAACATAATACTTGGGGAATATAAAGAAGCCGTGGACATAACTTAGCTATGTATTATTTTTTAAGCCTTATGCTCATACATCATTTCAGGAAGCTATTCTTCTAAATCAATTAAACTGTTCACAAGTGCACACAGCTTCTTCACAGCACTATCATGTTAATACAGAAAAACCTTCTTTGGAAGTTACACTGTTTCCCTAGAGAATAAATAATTGACTCTGCAGGAGATGTCTGTATGAATTCACCATTTTTTTCTATATTATAATTATTATAATAATATTTCATTTACAAATGCACCCAAAACACTATTACTACAGTTATTTTATGCTGCTCTGATCTATCTAACTTTGACCCTTCTCCACATGGAGCACCAGCCATGTTTCATGTGACAACATACTTTATTTAAACCTTAGTATTTAAAGTCCCAGCAAGGCTCAGTATCTCCTAAAACCTTTACCATCCAAATCAACTTAGCAGTTTCTCTGTTTCTTCTCTGGCACACAACGTAGTAGTTTCTTCAAGTTTCAACAGAACTGCATCCCTTTCAAATGTTCAATCTTTTCAGTACTCCTTTCTATACTGCTTCTCAACAGAAGGGATTATCCTCTTTCTGGAATGAGTTGCTGATCAATGTTTATAATATGAACCACAGTACAAACTGAAAACTCTGAAGAGGAAGCTGCATGTTATCAGCATGAACTGGTACGTATTAAAATACATGTAGGACAAAAAAAAATATTTTGCCCTATCCCTTTAACCTTTTTAGCCAAAGGACTAGTAAAAATTCAGCTTTTCACAATACAGTAGTCCCTTGGTGTTTTCCACAAGCTTTAAAACTTAATCTACCTTACAGGGTTTTTGTTATCTAGCAGTTTGCTGTCTAGACATATACAAAGGCACCGTGAGAGCCAGAAAGTCAATACAGACAGAGTATTAACTACCAGGCTCGCTGTTGCTGCCAGTTTTCTAAATTGCCCCAAATATTGTAATCAAATTGAGCCTTTTTTTCACAGCATTAAAACCAAATATGTAAGTAACACTTTTAAATTAATTATGCAGGTAAAGGTATGAAACCAGTTCAAGACACGAAGCTGAACTGAGCACTACAGCAAATTTGCTGTTACAACAAATTCTGTTGTTCTCACATACAAAGACAAGTGGAAATAAACACAAACCTACTGCCTTTATTGTTAGTCTGAAAAGTGTGTCTACGTAAAAGGTATTGCCAGGTTAAAAAAATAAAACCCGAACATTAATTTGAGGGTTGTTTTGCTATTAGTTTCATAAGGAAAAAGAACAAAAGACCCATTCAGACTCATTTTTAACATAATACTCCTTTCCTTAGAAACAGCAAACAAACAATGAAGAGTGAAACGGAAGGTTGCCCCACATAGCCTGTGGATCAACAGTACAAAGCTGCACATGCAGGAACTCTTCAGATTAATAAAATTTTAAGGGAATTTTTTAACTAAAACACAACTAGTATCAAACTGTGGAGGCAGGGGAGGGACCCAGGAACCTACACACAGTGACTCACACATGATGAGTCAATATGAGAAATATCAAGCAAAGAGCACCCTGGCCTCCTGTATACCAATATTGTTACATTTTTCACATCAGTAATAAAAAAAATAACAGATGTATAGCATGTGGAACAGCTACAGGTTTGGTTTTGTCTATTGTTGCATGGAACAAAAAGGCTGGATTTACAGAAGGAAAAAAACGAATGGCATTAAAGAGATGAATATCCGAGAATACTGTGAGTTGGAATTTGCAGAGACAGAAATGAAACTATCTTTTCAAGTGGTCTCTCTTCAGACACTGAGGAGTCTGATAATAAAACCGAACAACTTTAAATATTGTACACTTTCTCACTTCAAGATTTTTCAGTTAATTGTTATTTTGTTTATAATTTGCTCGTTTAAAGCCAGTTCTTAGGAGATTATTTTGGTGTCAGTTCAGGTAACTTTTCCAATAAACACACGTACTGGGCAACACCACACTGGAAATAAGTTTCCCTTTTTTGGTGGTGTGATCTACAGGCTTTAACCTCTTGTATAAATCAGTGCTACTTTTCTAAGATAAGAGTTTTAAAAGCTCTCAACACTGGATTAACTCTGTTGTTGCTTTACAAGATCACAAACCTTCTGCTGAATTCAAGGGAAGCAGGGTACATGGAGAGGTTTATAAAACTAAGCATCTTCTGAAGTCTTAACGTGTGTTCAGGAGTAGAAGTTAACACAGATTGCTGACCTTCTGTCAGTGTCAATAGGAAACTGCAGAATGAAAACATTCTGTATTTTCTATATTCCTGAAAATACCAGGATTTGTGGCCAAAGATCGGTATCTATTTCTCCACATTGTTTTCAGCAGAGAAGAAAACTTGGAAGTTTGGCACAGTAATAATAATTGTTTTTCTTTCTAGATAATACAGTATCATGTTCTCTCCAGGTAAGATCTGCTGTATTTTTCTATGGGCAGTGACTTGCAGAAGCTGCTATTCTGAGGTTGTTTTGGAGAACTAGTTTTGGATAATCTTTTCCAATGGAACATCAGTAAAATAATACACCCCACCCCAATCTATGAGCAACACAGAAACCCATGTGTCAGTAGTCTATTCACTGGTGTATATCTAGAGCATGTGTAGGTGGTTTCTGGTATGACTGACTATGCCTTGTCCTTATATTAGTATCACTGCAAGAATAGCAACACTTGTACTGGATGTATTGGAGAATCATTCCTATGAACAAATCCCCTACAACCTGCAAATTTTTTAAGCTGTTCTTCAGGACACAACTACTACGATTCAAGATCTCCAGAGAAATCTGTTCCATGACCGAACAACAAAACTGCCTGAACTGTACCCACTTAGGTGTAAACATGCCAACCACCTGCACTGAGCCACTCAAGAAAAACTCAAAGAAATGTGACAGTTAACATCTCTTTCCTAGAGTCTGGAAATGCCGTTTTCCATCTTCGCTTAGTTTTTACCAAAGACTTGACAACTGCTCTTAACCACCTTGTTTTGGTGGTGGGTGGGTGGTTTTTTGGTGTTTGTCCCCCCCCCCCTTCTTTCTCTATGAAAAGTTTGAGAAATTTCAGGACTTCTCACTACCAGGTGAGAAACACAAGCTCCTCAATGGAAGACTTTCAACAGCTTTTCACATACTTCTTCTCAGGAAAGAGATTTTCTAACACTTGCAAGATGAGATAAACACCACCAAAATATGGGTATGGGTCAGCTGATGTTCTGAATTGTTTTTTGTAGGAAAGCACTTGCATTATTCCCAAGATGTCGAACTCCAGGGGTCTGTGATCTCAAATTTTGCATGGCTACAGACTTCACTGAACAGAAAGTCACATGCTTATGTTGCTGCTTTTTCTAAGGTATACAGAGATCCACCCATTTTTGGAGTGCCTATATCTTTCTATAGCTCTGTAGAACAGATCCCAGCCTAACAGACTTTTCTCTTTCAAATACACATGAAAGGAAAATAGAAAAGTTTACATATTTTGTCATTTTACTAAACAGCTTTTTTTGAAGTCTCTATTAAGGGCAAGCACACAGCTTTTCACTATCTAACAGTATTTGCAGACTCACTGAGTAAATGGAGTAAATACTGCCAGATCACATGGGGAAAATATGTATTTATACTGAGTTTAATATAAAATATTAGGTTAATATTAATTTCTAGTATCAGCAGAACATGTATATTTAGGCCAACTTCAGTATGAAACTAAACAAATCAAGCTTAATTCAGTGAGTTTCTTCAGTTTAATTTTGCTATATATAAAAGCAAGAAACATACTGCTGATTTATTTTCAGTTACTCAAACAAGTAGCTTAATAAGGTTGCTTCTAAACCAGTTTTTTCTTCTATAATACTTTTTGTCATCTTATCTGAAGTTGTCTACCCAGAGGAAAGGAACATGCATTTCCAAATCAATCCATAGCTACACAACCTGGTAATCCAATTTGCTAAGCAAAATAGACATCTTATTTTGAATTTGCTGTAGCAAAATATAAACTATCGGAATTAAACTCCCCCCTCCCCTTAGAAAATTCAATTAGTGACTTGTATAATTATAGATAATGTTACTGGGACCCAAAGGTGCAGAAACAGCAGAAGGGCAGCAGCCCTCGTGTGAGTGTTTTAGACCAGTGAACCTGTAAGTACTACTTGCTTATGGACATAAACACTGAAGAAATAACACTTTGCAGGAAGCACCGCAGCTCCTCTCAGACCAACTTTTAAATTTTTGGTTCTTATGATCACAAACTATATCAGAGGGTCTTGCAGCCCATGAAATCAGGTGACATTGCTTTAGGCCTTTTATCATGCACAAGAGAGAAGTACATCCTTAACCCAACAGTACATGAAAGATATGGAGATACTATCATCAATCCGCATGGAAACCGGTCTGTATGTTGAAGAAACTCATTGGTCTATAGAGATACCATTATTTAGTCTTCATGTTTTGTTTTAACACACATTCATAAAAGGTTCATGGTATTCTCTATTAGCCATATCAAATGTATTTCAGTTCAGTGCAGGGATTTATCTGTATGTTAGTGATAAGACTTTACAGTGACTCATTTGTAAATGCAAGCATTTACTTTTTATTTGTATATGCATTAACACAGCATTGACCAACTACCTCCTTCTGAGAAGGAAATAAATGCAATTAGCAACAATAATTCAGAAGTTCTATCACATGAACAACCTTTTTATTTAAAGAAAACAGGTACTAATGGTATCCATTCAACTGCATAAAACTGGACCTGTGTCACTGAATAACGG